ATTTGACCGCGTTGAAAGACCTACTTTACAGAGACTCAATACAGAACTTACTTTAAACGAAGGGAAAATTGAAAATACTACGGCCTACAGGTCGGAGTTTGAGGAAAAACATGCAGAACGTCAAGTCCGGTAATGATATTTTTAAAATAAAGTAAATAATAATATGATCCACTTCTTATTGTCTTTCATGTTTATAAATAGGTATAAAAAGGAAGACCAACTTCACCTTGAAGGTGAATATTCCCCACAGAGAAAACAAGAGTATACGGGACTTCCTGGCGATCGTTATTTATCGCGTAAGCCTAAAGATAACCTAAAACCTGAAGGTGATTTTGAAAGACCAACTCGTGAAAAAGTGACACCAGCAGAACGACCGAAACCAATAAAACCTAGTGATAATTTGAWACCAGAAGGTGACTTCGAAAGACCACAACCATTGAAGTACGGGCCCGGTGAGAGAGCCCCAATTGTCAAACACCCGGACAATTTAAAACCGGAAGGTGATTTTGAAAGACCTACTCGTGAAAAAGTAACACTCGCAGAACGACCGAAACCAATAAAACCTAACGATAATTTGAAGCCAGAGGGTGACTTTGAAAGACCACAACCATCGAAGTACGGGCCTGGCGAGAGAGCACCAATTGTCAAACATCCAGATAATTTGAAACCAGAAGGTGATTTCGAGCGACCAAAACCCACCAAAGTACAACCTGCAGATCGACAAAAACCAATTAGGCCAATAGACAATTTACGACCAGAAGGTGAATTTGATAGGCCTGTACCATCAAAATATGGACCAGGTGATCGAGCACCGATAGTTAAGCATCCGGATAACCTTAAGCCTGAAGGAGACTTTGATAGGCCCAAACCTGATAAATATGCACCTGGCGATCGAGCGCCCATTGTAAAACATCCCGATAATTTAAAACCAGAAGGAGATTTTGATAGACCAGAACAGCTCCAAGAACCAAAAAGAGGAGAGAGAGCACCAATTAAAAAACCTGTTGATAATTTATATCCAGAAGGTGAATTCTATGGAGAAAGAACAGTAACAAAAATCGTAAAAGGAGAAAGAGCTGATATCCGAAGACATGAAGACCAACTTGTAATTGGTGGAGAATTTACAGGTTAATTAAATAATTAATCATAGTTTATATCAAAAATAGTAAATAAACATGAACCTCAATAATAAATAGGAAAGAATAATTAAAAAGCAAAAAATAAAAATTGATTTACATATTTAATTAGTTATGCCTATTTTAATTTATTAATAATATGTTGTGTATGAATAATATTAATAAATAACTATATTAAATATTATTCTATGCTTAAGAATTTAAAATTAAATCATAAAAAAAATTATACTTTATCTAGTAAGTATTCAAAAACTCTAAATTCTGGACATATATATATATATATATATATATATATGATCTATAATTAAAAAAATTTATAATCCAAAGCAAATATTATGTAATATCTCTTCTTCTTTTCCTTCTTTCTTTTACCTTATTTTCCTTCGTCTCCATTAATATTTCATTTTTTAAATTATTATTGCTTAGATACCTACCGAGTTTTGTGAAATTAAAATAATGAAGAAATGTACAAACTTATAATTTAATAAATATTATAAAAATACTATGTTATATTAATACTATGGCACAAATTGAGATCATATAATTAAATATTTAAAAATAACAGTAGGTAATAAAAGCAAATAATATAATAAAGAAAATACCTGTTCTATCGTAATACTACGATAAAATAAAAACACTGAAATTAATTAATATTTATGTTTAAAATAAGTTTTGACACGAACAGCTATAATGATAATATTCCTAATACTTCAAAATAACAGGTTAAATAGATTTATATATAATAATAATAATGTATTTCAGATTAAGTATATAAAACAGAGCAAATATAAAAATAATTAAAAGTACAAAAAATGTATTATTAAAACATTCAAAGCAATAATATGTATGTAATTTAATTTTATAGATATCACCACACAAAGAATGGAGTTTACAGGAGAAACCACTGAACGACCAAAAATGATACGTAGAAATACATGGACGAAACTGGAAGGAGATATTTTGGTAAAATTAAATAATGAATCAAAACTATATTTTTCAAAATAATTTAAAGTATAATATTATATTTTTAAAGGTAATACCAAAAAATATAGAAGATTACCCTGAGCGCCCGGTTATCCGAAGTGAAAAAGGAAAAAAAAAAACAGATACATTAAATATAACAACAGGAGAATTTTATTCAAATACGTCGTCTCAAGAATCATACCAACGACATGATATGCAAAAAACAGAGATCATAAAAAAACGAACAGAYAATTTAATATGTGAAGGAGAAATGTCTTTTGAAACGTCTCGAATGGCTGATTATTCAGCGAAAACAGTTGAGTTAGAAAAACCGGTTAGGCGACGTACGTGGACTAAGCAAGATGGAGAAATATACTTCCAAACTACTACTTCAGAAGTTTTCAAACATCATAACGAAACTAATATGCGAAATATCATGAAAAAACAMGAGGATAATTTAACTATTGAAGGAAAATTTGATGACAGAACACATTCTAAGGAACAATTTAAAAATGTACAGACAGAGAGACTAATACAAAAAAAACCAAAAGACAACTTAAAACCGGAAGGTGAATTTGATAGACCACAAAAAGAAAAGTATAAGCCATCTGAGAGACCTAAACAAATAAAACCCACAGACAACTTAAAACCGGAAGGAAAGTTTGAACGTCCGAAACAAAAAGATTATAAAACAGGAGAAAGGCCAAAACAAATAAAACCACAAGATAATCTTAAACCAGAAGGAGATTTTGAAAGACCAATAGAAGAAAGGTACAAGCCCAGTGAAAGGCCATCACCATTTAAACCAAGTGATAATTTAAAACCAGAAGGAGACTTTGAACGACCCAAAAATAAAAAGTATGAAACAAGTGAGCGTCCTACTCCATTTAAACCAAGTGATAATTTGAAACCTGAAGGTGAATTTGAAAAACGTATACCACAGAAGGTCGGAACAGGTGATCGTGCACCAATTGTAAAGCCAAAAGACAATTTACACCCAGAAGGTGAATTCCAACGACCTGAACCTGAAGAATTCAAACCATCCGAAAGACCTAAACAAGTCAAACCACAAGACAACTTGTTTCCGGAAGGTAATTTTGAACGCCCCGAATATCCTGAATATTCTCCGTCTGAAAGACCTAAGCAATTTAAGCC